TACATTTTTCAACAATTGAAAAACAAAAGATAAACATACTTTGAATGAAGCAATAATATGTCATACATAAAATTAAAACCATTTGCATAAAATCCAAAAGGACACATCATACATAAACCTTTGGCTCTGATACCACTTGAAGGGAAATTATGAGATTTCATGTGGGATTTCTAGTGACTAGCATGCATATACAATTCAAAATTTATATACGAAAGCAACGGAAGCATATCAACATATATTATCAAAGCTATAGTCATGCAAATCCGCTTCAAGATGCATAGGTTTATGTAAGATGCATCATAAACAAATTTATATAAGAACAAAGTTTAGGAATAGTTTTATACCTCTTGATCTAGATCTTAGACCAAGGATGGACCACCTCCAAGCCCTTTGCTTCTTGAACTCCTTGAGCCTAGCCTCCTTCCTTGCCTTCTCCACTTTGTTTAGAATGAGTGCTCCTAGGTTCTCTTCAAGTTTTCAAAATTGAAAACCTCTAAAGATCCTCACCCGCTAGTGTAGTGAGAAGGATGAAGGAATAACCAAAGGGGTGAAAAGATGATTAGCTAAATCCCCCTATGGTGGCCGGCCCTTTAAGTGTTAGAGAGACATTTTTCTTTTTCTCTTTTGTTCTTTTAACACTTCAAAAAACCCTAATGAAACATTTGCTATAAAGTTCCTTTTATAGCCAAAAAGAAACAAGTCAACATTTGACCTTTCTCTCCCTCCTTTGGCCGGCCCCTTTGTGTTGTTTGGGCTTTGGGCTTTTATTTATTTCAAGTCATCCAATGCTTGAATAAAAGCCCAATGGGTTTAGGCCAAATGGGCCCAATTAAACCCGAACGTTTCTTTAAGCCCAAAATGATCTTATAGCGCTTTTATGATTTATTTAGACTTTCTAATTTATCACAACACTTAATTAATCCAATTAATTATTTCCATCATCCATTAATTACTCACTACAAGAGTGTATTGATGAACAATCGTTTTAGGTTCTAATTAGCAAAGCAGTGAGGTGATTGGCACCAATCCAATTGATTATATTTAATCCAATCACTTAGTGAATTAAAACTTACTTTTAATTCACCTTCTTCTTTGACGACTACATTTAATCATCTAGAAGAACTCACAAGCCATGAGTGACATCTAACCATATATCATGGCTACCCAAGCTAATGTAGAAGTTGTTCGGAGAACCTATTCAGTTGGAATTACAATGTAATTCGATCATTCTCTAAAACAATACTCTCAATCACACCACTAGGGTATGGATATATTATGTCAAACCCCTAATGTGATTATTCCTTCTTATATGATTCAATTGAGTCGTATAGGAACGCTTTCCTTTATTACGCTCGATACTTCGGCCGAAGATTCCAGAATCATATCTTAGAGTATTCATCCTCTCTTAACGAGGATTAGAGATTCCTTGTTGCGCATTCACTTGCCTTCATGACTAAGTGGCTTAACCCTAACTATGCCGTGGACACCCGCGGATGGAGTGACTTTGACATAATCAAAGATCAAGTACTTAACCACAAAACAACGATGATGCCTCAGGTCAAAGGACTACTTACTTTATTCCAACCATTAGAGTTACTTGCTTGACATGTGAGTAGACCTCCATGCAAGTACTCTCGTTCGATTGTGTTTAGTGAACTCATTCCCTTAATGAGCACCTACATACTTGTCTTAGTGTCACTACACGAATGGGATGAGACTTTCCATCCTTCTAATTGAAGCGGACATAGTATGTACCGGTCTATGCATTGTCAGTATCCCTCCGACAATCATATGACCAGGAACCTTTTGGACATGATGGTTATGTGAAGAAGGTCTCTGTAGTCTAACTTTATTAGATTACTTCTTCAATCGATCCATTGTCCATGGATTCACTATTTAGGACAAATATCGTTTATAGAGATAGTCCTAAATAGTATCTTTGCCATTTGATGTATAAGAGTCATCTATACATCTATTTATTGTCCTGAAAGGTTTCTTCCAAAGATTGACTTTCAAGGCAAAATTCCAACACCATTGGCATTCTCAAGGCGTCAATCTTCTTGGAGTAAGGCTTTGAGTATAGCATGGAGTCATGCGATCTGCCTTGGTACTACACCTTAATGATGCTAATGATCATCTCCTGCAGTTGCTGGATAGAGAGATCCTATAAGCACTGTCGCTTGGTCCATCTTCTCTTCGGTTTTCTCCACCAGAGGCTTTTCCTTTTCATCAGTTTCCTACTTTAGTGGAGCAACCTTCGAGTCAACTTTGTCGTCGTGTTGTACCTCCAGACGGTTGATGAACGTAGTAATTTGCAAGTCATTTTCCTTCACGGTCCTTCTCAACCTTGCAATGGTTTTACTCATTTAAGCCAGCTGCTCCTTAATGGAAGTCGCGCCAGTAGTCATGACTTGCATGGCTACGGGACACGAGCTGCTTGATTCGGCGTCAGAAGTCAAAGACTCAGAGTAACTCCTCGGGCTTTCTTCCCTTGGCGCCCTTAGCAAGGCCAGGGTGATCACAAGTTCGTGCCTTGAATGCTCCTGCTCCATCGGCAAAGTTGATGGAAAGGTGGAAGGCACGGTAGAGAAAGTTCTTGCCTTACTTCAAGTTGTGATGCCCAAAGTGCCACCACTTGCGGCTACGATGCCCTTCTTTTTCGTGTTGGTAGCGGGAACAGTTTGATCATTTCTTGATGCCATTTGTTATGTATTTGGAGACAGAAATGAGAGGCAGAGGGTCCCACTGGGCATGCCAAATTTGTAAACATGAAAATTCTGTATCGAATGAAATGAGAACACATTTACAAAGTAGATTTGTATTGATTTGAATTTGTAGGTTACAATCTCTATTTACAACTTTCCTTTGATTCAGTCTTCAAATTTGATGTAGATGTGTAGGTTGTTAATCCAAGGGTTGCGATGACTTGAGCTCGGACGAACGATTGAATGATTGCTCCAAGTTTTAAGCTTGAAAACAACGCAGGGATGGTCTTCACCTCAAGGTGCTGCAAGGGGTAAGTAGTGTGGATGTGAGATTTCGTTGCTTCAAGGGTCTTGGCAGCTTGATCTTGAAACGAATGTTGCTACAAGTTTATAAGCTTGCAACAAACTTTGTTGTATGAATCGGCACGAGCACTTGTTGATTCTTCAAGAAACTGCTTCGGCTTTGGTTGAATGTTCTTCGAATAGAGCTTTGGCAGCGTATTTATCTTCAAAGGTTTGGCAAAGGTTCTTCTGTGTAGAGATTTTTTTTCTCCAATGCTTGTGGGAGGACCTTGTGTTTATAGGCTTCTCAAGGATTGCATTTGGGAGGATTTGGCTTTGATTTGTGTCCTAATTTGTCCATGAGCGAATTTAGGCATATTTTGTGTATTAATTTCAGCCATTTTCCTTGCTTTAGCCAAATTTAAGGATCTTGTTGCCTATTTTGTGAGCAATCTTCAATTCTTACATGTTATATGAAGATGCTTTAACTTTTTTCCCTATTTTGAAAGATTTTGGACCTCCTTTGCCGAATTTAAAAGATGTTTCTTCTCTTAGCCAAATTTAGGGAATGTTTTATATTTCCTTTGCTTGATTTGTGCCATATGTCATTGATGACTTGTCCATTTGTGATGAGTTATATGCCACGTGGAGCTTTGTGATGCATCGTTTTATATGCAACGAAATTTACATGTCTACAATGGTCAGAGAACATTAAGATGTTATAATTGATTGCTAGCTGTTTGTTGAAGTTGGCCACCATTCTTGGTTTCTTGGAATCTGTCTTTCTTTCTTTCTGAGTGTTTGACATATACCCTTGCTCTCCGTAAATACAGTTCACCTCAATGGATGCTTCTTCCCTTGAGCACGGGACATGGTAGAGACCAAAAAGTCTCCTGGATTTTCTACGATGTTTCTCTAGGATAGAACGTCAAGATAACTCCTCGAAGGTCAGATCAATCACTTCTGTCTTTTGGGTAATAAATTCTTTGAATCGTGAAACGAATTCTTTAAGGTCTTTGATACGTGCCTTTATGAGGTCTTCCCACATCTTGTTTATGGCTGTAACATCATGTGCTTCTGGTGGATATTACCCTGGGAGGCAGCAAAGTTGTCGTCGTTAACTGAGCTTTTTGACATGTTAGTTGGCAGAGTAGTCCGGTCGAGAGGAATAAGAGTTCATTCTCAATGAATGCACCAATTGTTAGAACTAAAATCATGCACTACCATGAGTGGTGGTTGAGGACAAATTCGAGCAACCTGCAAAATAGTTAACAACTGTGAACAAGCCTTAGACCAAGGGAGGGGGATTGTGTGTGCCGGCCAAAGGTTATCTGACACTCAAGTTAGTGAATGAGTTAGACTCAAGCAGGGGACAAGAGAATTGAAGTGTTTCGGTTGCGTTATCCTATATGAACCCTAGATGGAGAGAGACATTTTTAGGATAGAATTCTGGTTATAAGCCTGAAAATCCGAGAGGATATCCAGAAGTAGATATTACATGCTCTTATGAGTTATGGTTGCACACCAATTCCTAGATTATTTAAACTCCAAGACTTATAGGACTTGATTGTATCCATATCCGAATTAGATCGTGTGTCTAGTTGAACAAGCATGGTCATCTAGCTGAGTCGCTAAGACACCAACTTGTGCCTTGGAGCAGTGTGATGGTGGCACCGCTACTCAATCTGAAACAGTTCCGCTTGAAGTTGGTGAATCCATGACCAGACTTTTAAGGTAACTGTATTTTTTCACAAACTATACCCATTCCGTTTTTTATGAACTATGGTTAGGGGCTAAAAAGCTATCCATATTCTCTGTGGTGAAAATTTTTTAGCAGCCCAGATTTTACTTATAAATGTTTGTCGTCCTACGCTAGAAGGTTAACTTGATTATGTTAAATCAGTAAAAATTTATTAGGTTTTTAAGAAGGGAATTCTGAAGGAAGAAAAAAAAGGGAAACATAAGGAAATTGTTATTATTAACTATAAAGAAAATAGTTATCTTACACTTTCAAATAAAATAACATTACAAAATGGGGAAAGCACGAAACTAAAGGTAGCCCATGATAACCAAACATGGTAAAAGGGCCACAAAGCAGATTAAATTAAAAGATGCAAATTCAAGCCTCATGTCACGCAAACAAATTAATTAGGAGAAAATGGAACTTTTTCCTCAATTCACTTGACATGAACAATACTTTTCACATAAATAAGAACTTCAAAATCCACAACCCTATTGAGAATAGGAGGAATATGAAGATACTTGAGATTTCTAGTACTATAATTATAAGAGGTGGCTCTTCCATCGGAATCAAGCATAAGAAGCTCATCACTTCTCCAAAATGTCAGGGGCTTCTTAATGCCTTGTAAGGGTCCAATGTTTAAAAGTTTTGTCCATGAACTTTTATCACCGTCATAGTCATCCATTACCCATATTTCACATGATTCAGAATCCTCACTCCTATCATAACGAGAGCAAAAAGAAGCAAGGGATTCATTTCGTAGAAAAATATAATAAAACCTAAAACCGGATTCTCTCCTAGAAGGCAGTTGTATTATATGAAATGTGTCATCACCTAAATCAAAAGAAAGTATGTATTCCTCGCCATCTGTTGCATACCAATAACAAAATCCCTTCATGAACACTGAACGAGAACAAGAATAGGTTGTACTTGATATATCAATCTTGATCTCTTTCCAAGAATTAGCAGTTGTGGTGTATAACTCAGCCGTGTGAGGAAGAGCAATACGATAATAATATGTTCGTTCATCATCTGAATACTCACAATTTTCTATAATTCGCACAACCTTGTATTCTTTAGCATTGCAATCATATCCAAATCCCAAAGCTTGAAAGTTAGTTTCCAATTCGAATTTTCTCTCAGGAGGGGAAGGTAGAAGAAGGCATGAATCGGGAAGTTGCTTGAATTCCCTCGTTGCAGGATTGCATAAAAGAACATTTTTCCCAGCTTCTACACAGAGTATCCCATTGCAATAACCAAAAATCAGTACAAAATCATGATCTTTCAATGCAAACGGTATATTTAGGTCCTCAACATCGTAATGAAGGTTGTTCTCATCACTATCAATGGAAAAATTAATCATGGACCAGAAAACTTCTTGTTTCCAACTCTGGTCTGGGAAAATGTGAGCCTGAGAACGGTTGAGAAGGATACAAGTGGAGGATGAGAGTTTGTTGTCCACGGAATTGCTGAGGTGTTTGGCCACAAAACTTAGATTGTTGATGAGAGAGAACCAAGACTTGTGTATGCATTTGAACCGCATCAGAGACTTGGGCGGTAACCTGGATAAGATTTCAACTACCCTATCTTCAGGAGTTTCACTTTCACGCACATGGGACATTTCAATAATTTTGTTTGCAGGATAGAACACAACCAGTTTGAGAACCAAACTAAATGAAACTCAAAGTCCCTAAGGCCTGGTAGATTGAGGTTCAATTACTAAACATATTACCTCATAAGATGCCAAAATTCAACAGTACTAAATAAACTTGGAATTCTACAACCACAACATATAGCTATCAAATAAAACAGGGTTGATCTAGAGTTGGTGGCTTTTTTAGTTTTCCAAACAAAATAGGGGTGATTAAATCAGTTTCGAGTTTAATGGAGAATCATACGTTCAAATTTTACTATTTTTAATTTCTTATTGATACAAAAAAAAAAAAAAAAAAAAAAAAAAAAAAAAAAAAAAAAAACCATTCAAATTTCACCTTTTAATTCTACATTTAATTAACTAAGAAAGGAAAATTCACATATTCATACACGAGTTTTAATTAATAGAAAACTCCATTCAAATCCTTGTAAAATATGACTTTTAGGCTAAAACCTTGTTCTAAAAGATTAAAATCTAATTTTAGTCATTTGATATATTTAATCAGATCAATTGTTTAATTATGTTTTGATGTTTATTGCTATTTTTTACAATGCACTTTGGTACAAACATTTTAATATATTAATTCCTTATAATATAGTTTGGTACACACATTTAGGACCATCAATTCATTTTAATATATTTTCAGTACACTTATGTATTTACATTTTTTTTTCTTATGTGTCACTTTTTAGTGTTTTCTTATTTTGGTACATTTATCTCATTCGTCCCAAATTTAATCATTTTATTTCCTGACACTAGAAAATTTCAAAAAGCCCATTATGGGCTAAGTAGAAATCCTACATCTGAGACATTGTCGCTCTTTGTCCATTTTCTTGTCCTTCAAGTTAGTACATGTCCGTATGAAGATGTCAGTGAACGAGACGTAAATCATACGTAAAGTCAACAATTTAAGCACATTTCTTAATGAGGGGCAAAATGATAATTTTGCATTATCGAGAATCCATGATTTGTATCTTGAGATAATTGTGGGTGTCGGTATTGCAGGCTACAAACTGTGATATTAGTATTTTATTGTTTAGGGCCGGTTCTGTTAGTACTTTATTATTTAGGCCTCATGCCTAATTAAATATCTTGGTTTGACACAAAGACACACTCACATATTTTCTAGGACCCATGACTACAATCGCGTCGGCGCTAGCAAAACATAAAGGGCAATATCATAAATTTACTTGTCTATGCGTTGTCACTTTATTAACTGAAAATATGACTTTAACCCTTGAAACTCTTTTTTTTCCACATAAAATCCGACAAAAGTTATTTGCTTGACTAAAACCCATTGACTAGTCTCCAAATAAGCAAATTTATTAATTATGTTTGACTTTACCCATTTAAAATTTTTCGGATGCCTAACATACCCTCATTTAAATGTTTAACGTACACAATTAATTCTACGAAAATTGTTAGGGAGAATTAATGATTTTACAAAAATAATATTTTACATATAAATGTAGGGATTTGTTGGTTTGGATCCGTGATAATATCAATTTGATAATCAATTTCCATAGTGAGGGTGCGGTGGTGTGCCACACAATCTCCCATTCCCCATTTTTTTTTTCAAATCCCTTAGGGTTTAGGAAACCCAAATTTGCTTCTAATTTAATTTGATACTTTGACTCACAAATTCCACATAACAATTTAATTGTGTGATGCATGAAACAAATATATATATTGACAAATATATGAACATATACAATATATATATATATATAAAGGAAAGTATAAACATAGAGGGGTTCATGCATTATGGGGAATGTTTTCATGCTTCGTGGACGTTTCAAATATCTTCTTTTATTTTAAACGTACCTGATTAGCAGAAAACGATAAGCCTTTGAATTTGGTGGATGATAGCATCCTCCAACGATGCGTCAATTCCTCAGCTTCTGGCAAAAGCGTGCTGATAACGTGTTGTAGGCCTATTTGATTGAACAATCTAGGGTTTAGAGAGAGGGGACCGACCACTATTAGAGAGAAGAGATATTGATTTAATTCTGAGGTGTGTTTGATTCACCCCATTATTCCTTTATTTATAGTAGTAGGAAGGGTAAAACCTTTCCCTTTAGGATTACAACATTTAATAGGTAATCTAATCCTAATAGGATATAAGATACATTCCCATATTCCTTAGGATTTACACAATCACATTCCTATTCTAAATATGACTGCAACAATAAAAAAATTGTTGTCAAAGTAAAAATATATAAATTAATGGAGATAAAATTGTAGGTAAATTAATTTTAGGACAAAGAAAAAGAAAAGAACCAACTATAGGTGAATTATTTACATATATAGTGTAGAATATTTGGTTCACATAAAAAATGTAGGTAAATAGGTATCACATACATAATTTACCTACTTCCATAATTTACCTACTTTCTATTAATTTACCTACTTGCATTATAGGTCAAATACCAACAAAATATGAGAATATTATTTGCATATATCATACGTAAATTGCCAAAAGAAATATGAGAATATTTTGTGTATATACTGTAGGTAAATAACCTACTATAGGACAATAGAATTTGTATAGGTAAATTAGTAGAGATGTTTTACTATTATATATAAGGAGAATAATTTACCATGAATAACAATGTAGTCATGATTAAGGTAATGCACTAGATTGTTGTAGAAATTAAAAAAATAAATAAATAAATGGACATGATGATTAATCAGATTTTAAGGCCCTTGATTGAAGCTAAAATTCAAGTGTGAGAAACAGTAGGCCTGGCAAACGAGTCGTGTCTATCATATTTGTGTCGTTTTCATGTAACACATGTTATCTTAACAGGTCGTGTCGTGTCACACCTGTTAAGAAAAAAAAAAAAAATTTCTTAAATTTGCACATACCACACATTGCCACATAAATATTACTTCAAACCATTAAAACACATTTGTAGTTTAAATACTACATCTACACTCGAAAATAAGAGTCTAATAAATAAACATTCATACACTACTAGTCTATTACAAAATATTAAATGTGCAAGATATGCAAAATGAAAGAGTTTTGGATTTCAACATTGTGAAGTCTTTCTCAAAAGTTTAAACCTTGTCAATGGAACTCAAAGCTTGCATGTTATTCCTTTTGCAAAATCCTCAATTTTCATTGATCATCCACTAGTGTAAATATTTTAAATTGAAGATCGAATTCATTCATTGTATTCATATAAGGTCAAGGAGTGTAGCTATAAAAAATCATCAAAATCGGAGTTCAAATAACCGTTAAATCGTGATTTAGCGTTGATAACTGTTGAAAAGTTTTGTCCCATTACTTGATCTTTGAAAGTTTGTTTTTTGTGATTTTTGGTGTATGTGATCTTGAAGCATATAAAAACAAGTTTGTCGGTTGGATCGTTGAAATTAGTTTCGTAGAATGCATATCCCATCAAAACGATAGATTCACTAACACTTAGAGTTTATTTATACGTTCATTAAGTATAACATAACATTTTATGGTATCCACTAATGTAAATATTTTAAATTGAAGATCGAATTCATTCATTGTATTCATATAGGGTCAAGGTGTAGCTGTGAAAAATCATCAAAATCAGAGTTAAAATAACTGTTAAATTGTGATTTTTCGTTTATAACCGTCAAAAAGTTTTGTCTCGTTACTTGATCTCTGAATGTTTGTTTTTTGCAATTTTTGGCGTATGCGATCTCGAAGTAATATAAACATGTTTGATGGTTGGATCATTGAAACTAGTTTCGTAAAATACGTATCCCATCAAAACAATAGATTCACTAACACTTAAGAGTTTATTCAAACTTTCATTAAGTATAACATAAGATTATGTGGTATCCACTATTGTAAATATTTTAAATTGAAGATCGAGTTCATTCATTGTATTCATATAGGATCAAGGAGTGTAGCTGTAAAAAAAATCATCAAAATCGGAGTTAAAATAACCGTTAAATCATGATTTTTCGTTTATAACTATCGAAAAATTTTGTCCTGTTACTTGATCTCTGAATTTTTTTTTTTTTTTTTTGCGATTTTTAGCGTATGCGATCTCGAAGCATATACAAACAACTTTGACGGTTGGATCATTGAAATTAGTTCGTAGAATGCGTATCTCATCAAAACAATAAATTCACTAACACGAGTTTATTCATACATTCATTTAGTATAAATAAGATTTTATGGTATCCACTATTGTAAATATTTTAAATTTAAGATCGAGTTCATTCATTGTGTTCATATAGGGTCAAGGAGTATAGCTGTAAAAAATCATCAAAATCGAAGTTAAAATAACCTTTAAATCGTGATTTTTCGTTGATAACCGTCTAAATGTTTTGTCCCGTTACTTGATCTTTGAATGTTTTTTTTGTTGCAATTTTTGGCGTTTAAGATCTCGAAGTATATACAAACATGTTTGATGGTTGGATCGTTGAAACTAGTTTCGTAGAATGCGTATCCCATCAAAACATTAGATTCACTAACATTTAAGAGTTTATTCATACTTTCATTAAGTATAACATAAGTGATAGGAGCATATTTATGCGCCTTAGTTAGTTAGTTCTTATGCATTTATGTTGTGTTTTTTTAGTTAAGTTAGTCTTTTAAGCTATTTTCATGTGTTTTCAGGTTTTAGAGACAAAGTGAGCAAAAGGAAGCAATTTGGAGCATTTTGGAGCAAAATTGGGCTAGAATGGAGTTCATGCATATGTAGCACAAGGGATGGATGAATTTGAAGGATTGATGAAGCTAGGAATGTGTTTTGAAGTTGAAGAATTGAAGATACAAAGTTTCCTAGTTGAAGTAGGAAAGGGCTTAAATGAAGGATTCCTAAATAAAGAAGGATTCCTAATCAATGTAGGAGTCCTAATTGAAGATGGATTCCTAGACACATGAAGTTTCCTACTCAAGCAAGGTTTCCTATGTGAAGAAGAAGAGTTAAAGTCAAAGAATCAGCTCAAGAGAAGGAATCTTATCCAAAACCTCATCCATAACCTTATCTTAGCTTATCTTATCCAAACAAACCTTATCCTATCCTATCTTATCCTAATCCTAAACTATCCACATTTCAGCCACTTAGGAGGGTTTCTAACTAGATTAGGACACATTAAAATTGGTTTTTAGAAGCCCTTATCCACTCCTACAAAGGTGCCATACCTTATCCCTTGTTTTTCTAGAAATCAGCCACAAAACAACCTTTCTAGAAGACCTTATCCCTTGTCCTACAAAAGTGACGCCCCAAACCTTTCTAGAACTTCTAGAAACCTGATTATTCCTTTCCCCCTTGGTCTCTAAAAGCCTTAGCCTTTTCCTTCAAGGATTGTGTGTTATTATCCTATACAAATTAGGCCTTTAAATCCTTTTCCTTTGCTACATAGGGGCTGCGAATTTCAGCCTATAAATACCATCTTTTGCTGCACCATTTAGTCACCATCCTCTACCATATTTTCACTACACCATTCACCCAAATATACCTCTTGTGCCGTGAGTTTGCAAAGGAGAAGAAGGAAGAACTCTTGGAGCCGTGCATGCCATTCAAAGAGCTTGGATTGTGGAGCGTTTCTAGGTGTTTTCTATCTTTGTTTTAATGTTTAAATTTATTTATCTTTGTTTATTTGCGAGTATGAGGAACTAAACCCCCTTGGCTAGGGGGGGATTCGAAACCATGTTTATGCTTGCTATATGATTTGATTACTTCTAATTGCGTTTCATAAGTTGTGAGTTCAATTTGCTTATCTATGTGAATTAAAACTTATTCTTGTATGTTGATTGAGGGTCGACACTTAGTTTGCATGCATGAATTTGATGCTAGGATATAAGGGAATTTCACCTAATCGTTATGAACTTATATTCACAAGTAGTAAAGGTTGTTGATCACAATCGTGTTAAGTAAATTCTTGGCATAAGTTTCATGCAATCATAGTAACAAGTGTTTCGTCAATGCTTATGGTTTTCATAGAACTTAATGATTCTTGCTTGTATCTCTATTATGCAATCATGTAGGGGACTTGTAGGGAATGCTTTGGGTTGTCGTATGCAATTCATCCAATTCAATAACTTAAGGAAAATCTGAGGGTTAATTTAAGCGGACCTAATTAACTTGGGGCGTTGAGAATTCATGGTTTATTGAAAAGCAATTGGAAATCGTTTTATATGCAAGTGTGACATGTGTGGAGATGAACCCCTTAGCTAGCCTTCCATCCATTCAAATCATCCAAATTCGTTTTAAAATATGTTTTAGTTTACAAAGTTTTGTTTTGTTTTTAAATTCGTCCAAAATCAATCCCCCTTTAGTTTTAAGTGTCATATTAGTTAAAAACCCATTTAGTTTGTGTTTTTAGGTGTCTTGAGACAAGTTTAAACCAATTTTCGTCCAAATTCTTCCCTAGTGTCCAAAACTGCCCAGAAAGTGGTTTTAAGGCAGTTTTGAGTGTTTATTTGCTGTTTTGAGTCTTTTGGTTTGTTTTAGTGTTTTAAAATTTAGTTTTACATTCTTGGAGTCTAGTTAGTGTTTTAAACTTGTTTTTACGTTTTTGAGTCAAGTCCAAGTGATTTTGCAATCCCTCCTAATCCCTGGCCTAGAACGATCCCTACTTACATACTTGCTACAATTGATAAAAAGAGGGTTAATTTGAGTGTCAACATAATTTTCACATCAATAAGATCACTAGTGTAAATATTTTAAATTGAAGATCGAGTTATTTCATTATATTCATAGAGGGTCAAAGAGTAGTTATAAAATCATCAAAATCGGAGTTAAAATAACTGTTAAATATTGATTTTTCTTTGATAACCGTCAAAAAGTTTTGTCCCGTTGCTTGATCTGAATGTTTGTTTTGTGCAATTTTTTGTTGATGTGATCTCGAAGCATATACAAACAAGTTTGACGGTTAGATCATTAAAATTAGTTTTGTAGAATTCGTATCCCATCAAGTTCAATGATATATATATATATATATATATATATATATATTAAGTAGATTTAAATTTATTTATTTTTTACGTATAACACTTAAGAAATTGAATGGTATGTATATTTAAGCCGATCCAACGGTCATCAATTTTTAATATTTAATTTAATATATATATATATAATTATTATAATTTTTAGGGGTATAAAATTGTTAAATTAATATATATAATTATTATAGTATTTTTTTTAGGGTTATATAATTTTTAAATTAATATTTTACTTATCGTGTATCGTGTTACCCACGTGTATACCCAAACCAACCCGTTATCTTAACAGGTGTTTATCGGGTTACCTGATAACGACCCGATTCGTTATCGTGTCAACCCGAACACCTGTTAATTTCGTGTCGTATCGGGTTGGGTTATCGAATCGTATCAGGAATTGCCAGGCCTAAGAAACAATGTAAAATGGTGTGGCAAAAATTGTAAATAATTTGTAATAGTAGGTTACTTATATTCTCATATGGTAGTTTAATTGACTTTTGGATTTTTCTTGGATGTTTAATTATATGTGGGTTTATATTTAAAAATCATGACTTTTTAGGATCAATATCTAAAGAACCCTTGATTAATACTTTGTTTGATGGGTGCTTTGTGTCCCGTGGGACCCACCCACGTCGAACTTTTTCTCTTCTCTGTTTAACCCTTTTCGTGTACTCCGTCATCATTTCTCTTGTTCTCACTCTCTAATCTTCTTTCAAAATCTCCCTCTCACCCAACTTTTTATTCCTGTCTCCTCATTATCACTCTTTACAACTCTCTATTTTCTCTATGTAAAGCACAGTGAAGCCGTGAAGCGGCGCCAAACCAAAGGGAACACTAGGGATGGGCAACGGTTATGGCAGTCGGATAACCACGGTTATTTACCCATAACTGTTTATGTTCATACCCGCATAACTGTTTACCCGTTGGATAATTACATAAATGGTTATACCCATAACCATAACCGTTTATAAACGATTATCCATACCCATAACCGTGTACCCATTTAACCATAACCATTTACCCATTTAACCATAACCATTTACTCATTTACCTGTTTTTGAACCCATTTATCATTTTTTTACCCATTTACTTCTTTTTTCGCCCATCTACATTATTTTTTTTAACAAGTTGAAAATTACAAAAGAAAATGTTGTCGTAATTTTCATTTTCTGATAATTAAACACCGTTATAAGTACATTTTAGCATACATTTCCCTATTTTAATCATTTAAGTCCTCATATAATTCCAATAATTGAAATAATAGTTTACAAACGATATTTTTCTGCTACACCTAAGCAAGTCTTTAATTATAATCCATATGATTAAAAAGCAAAGTTCTAAAAACAAAAAGTAATCATTATCTTGAATACTAGAATTCAAAGCTCCAAAATATTCCGAAACTAAACACTTTCGAACACGTTCAATCACAAAGTATCATTGACTCGTTGTCACCAAAAGAGGCCTACAAAAGAAATGTATAATTGAATTAGTGTGCATAAATTGAATGAGTATCATCAATAACTCCAAAGTAAAAAACAAAAATAAAGATTAGTTTTTACCACATTCACATCAGTATCATCATCGAATGAAGAATCTTCAACATGGGTAGAGTTTGAATCTGGTTCAACAGTAAAATTTAAAATTAGGCTAAAATAGTAAATTTTTGAACATATACATAATTTATATGAAATTTTACAGTAAGTACCTCGCATCTGACCCCACAACCAGTCTCGAGAACACATGAGTGCTTCCACTGTGCTTGAATGAAGTCGGCTACGATGTGGACTAATAATCCTACCACCAATACTAAATGAAGACTCTAAAGCTACTGTAGATACAAGAATAGCCAAAGTATCTCGAGCTATCTGATGCAAAATAGGATATTTAATCCCATTTGTCTTCCACAACGACAATATATCAAAATCTTGAGTCCTAGGCAAGACTTTCTCCCCCAAATATAGGTCTAAGTCAGATTGTTCATTACCAATGGTAGAATCCATAACAAACTGGTCATAAGATGTTAAAGGATCACCAACTCTGAAATCACATGACTGTAATGGAAAATCAGTTGAAGAAGAATATTCAGAAGACCGAAGCCCAGGTCTATGCTTCAATTCATACTCTTTGACAAACTTAACAGCCAAGTCAAAGACTTTCTCAATTTCCGATGAAGCATTCTCTTTATAAATAAGAGAAAAATAATACTCAATCAATTTCATCTTGAACCTTAGATCCAGAATAGCTGCAATTGCCATAGCACCATAAATTTTATGTCAATACTTTTCAAACTTGATTGACATCTTTGTTGCCATTAACTTAACTTCAACATGGTCAAACTCAAGCCACTTACAGATTGCAATCCTAATCTGATACACATTTGGAAAATAAAGATTTGATGTGGGATACTTGATCCCAGAAAATAACTCAGTCACTTGGTGAAAGATCTCCAACTTTTCAGCAATCATGTTAGTCTTTGCCCCATCTTCTTCACTTGGAACATTTTTATATGAAGGCTCACACTGCTTTAAACGAGGAAATACATCTTTATATACCAATGCAGTGGTAAGCATCACATACATCGAGTTCCACTTAGTTTTACAATCAAGGACTAACTTCCTAGAGAACTTAATTTTCATTTGTTGAGCTATCTCAACAAATTTTTCCTCTCTTTTTGTTGTCCAAGACCAATATGAAACACTATTCCGAATAGTCTCAATACTATCCCTAATCACATCCAATCCATCCTTAACTATCAAATTAAGTATGTGAGCACAACAACGCATATGAAATAATTCTCCGTTTAACACAAGTGAAAGCTTGCAATATGTCATTATATCCTTAATCCACATGTCAGTCGTGATTGCAATTTTACTCTTGTTCACTTGCAACAACTTCATGGTCTCTCCCTTTTCACATTCAAATACTTTCATAATATCCCTCTTGATAGTACTTCTAGAAATTATCTTAAATAAAGGTTGCAATGAATTGCAAAACCTCTTAAAACCCAAGTGGTCCACCATAGATAAAGGATAATCATGTAAGATAATCATATAAGCTAGCTCTTTCGTAGCATTACCTTCATCAAAACTATATGCACCATGTTTAACAGACTCATCACCAGTTATAACTGGACTCTTTTTCTTTGTCATCAATACAGGACATGTTCTAACATGTGAAAGTAAAGATGAAGATTAATTGGTTCAATATCTTGGTTCTCGCTTTGAGTCTGCATCTTGGAACTAGTTGAAACAGTTGGATACAAGACTTTTTTAAGATTTAAAGATCTAATCCACGTTCACATCACTACTAGGTTCTATGCAATTATTTTTTTTTTCCAAACATGACCACACGAACAGGTACGATATGATGTTACCTATTACCGCAATTTATAAGGCCTGAAGGGCGCAATTCCATCTTGTTCCAATTGTAAAGATTGACAAATAATTCATACGAAAAGAGTTCCTGCTAAAACAAATACAAATAATCAATTCACAAATTATATTGCAGGTGGAATATTTTACACACGTATTTGATTTATGCAGCAATCTTACTAATGTTAATGTTTAATCTCACAAAATAGGCCCACATTAATTACAAATACCAAGTTACCAAATTTATAATCGGTGGAATGAACCCTATTGGCCCCTCCAATTCAATTTTGGTGGAATGATGAATGCAAGCAATATATAATCGGTGGAATGAACCCTATTGGCCCCTCCAATTCAATTTTGGTGTCGGAATTAAGAACTTTGATGCCGATATTTTGTTTATTTTCCTTGCTGTTAATTTATCTAGTATAACTTCACCATTGAACTTGACCCTATGTTAATGTTCTGTATATTTTGGTGCAACTGCAGGCTGTGAAAAATCTAAATTTAATGGATTACACTAAAAATCAACCAACACTTTCCTTTTCCATTATGCAAATTGAAGTACCTCAGAGATTGGAGTAAAAATCAACCAACACTTTCCTGTTCCATTATGCAAAATTGTAAATTATGTAGATAATCGAATTACTTCAAAGATTAGCACTTCAAAGATGAGAGTACAGCTAAACTAAAAATCTCTCCAAAAATTGAATTACTTCAGACATCTAAACTAAAAATCAACCAACATTTTTAATAAAATCAAGAAGTATGAAATTTTTTAATAAAATCAAGAACAATGCCTAATCAAGACTAGATTTCACAAACCCAAAATCTCAAACCCTAAATTAATTCCAAAATTTACCTAATTTGGGGGATAATCGATGTACAGTGCCCTGAAATCTGGATGAAGAAGTCAAGGGAGAGAAATTAGAGAGGTGAGCGGCGCATGTGGCCATAGCTCTACCTCTATGCTGTGAAGGAAGGCTCTTCGACACAGTCAAGGTTTGAGGGATGAGAAGTCGAAAGAGAGAAATCAGAGGGTCTGTGTGATGTGGGTGTGACCGGATTCTGAGGTGAGAAGGTTGTCTTAGGTGAGGTCTAGTCAAAGTCGAGGGGTGGAGAGAGAGAGAGCGACGGAGAGAGAGAGTGATGGAGTTGTGAGTTCTCTGAGGGTTTTTAATTTTTTTTTTAATTTTACATATATTAAATTAAATAGGTAAATGGATACATGTTATAACGGCGAATATTACCCACCGATGGATACCCGTTATAACCGCGCATAATACCCATAACCGTCCATTTAAATTTCATGGATAAACAGTTATACCCATAACCGTTTATTTGTCTAAACGGTTATCCATAACCATAACCGTCAATTTTAAATGGGCGAGTCACCGCGATTTCCAATACCGATGGGTATTTTGTCCATACTAATCCCTGGCGATGTATCAAACCCAAAAACCCACCCTTGCTTGCCGAACTCAGCAACGGCCTCATTGCTTTTTTTTGGGAAATCACGACTTGAAGATGTGAATCTTGGGTTAGTTCATTATCTCTGATGATAATCATTAGAATTTCACGTCAAAATTCATTGAAATTTATGGGATTCCCATCCAAATCCCCATGGTTCTCACACCAACCGATAGTGAGGATACCCCTTCATCGCTGAAATTGGTTCGTAGTCAAACCCACGGCCTTGCACCGCGGTCTCTATCCCAAAACATAGCCTTCTGAAGTGGCGGCGTTTGTCTTCTTCCTCGGCGACTACACCCAGTAAACGCTGGGTGTTTTGGATCTTAGCCCGAGCCTACTTTGGGCTTGGTTCATCCTTCCCACATCGAGAAAGTTTCTCTTCTGGACTCTCATGCAATGACCCACTGCCCCTTTGCTTGGCCTGTAAACACCAGCTCGCCAGGGCTATGGCGTCCCCTGCACAGTGAAGCATTAGATCCTTGCCCTGTGGGCTTCTGGATCCTGCCTACTTAGTTAGGCTTACTTACTACAGTCCAGCTTGCCCAGCACCAACTCGTAGCCCAATTTTTGGGCCTGGGCTTCACGATTCACTTGTTTTAAGTCCCGTGTGGGCTTTGGCTCAACTTTGGACCATCGAATTTCATCACCTTATTTTTTTTAGGCATTATTTGTTAGGTTTATATTTTATTGTCGAATTTGAACAAAGTCGACTTTACCGTTTTAGATATCTTCAGAAGAAACTGCCTCAAGTGGGTTCAAGATGTGAAGCTCCACCTCATCGCTAAAAGCCTTAGAGCCACTATTAAAGCTGAGACGGATGTCCCGGTTGGCGAAGCTGAGAAAGCTATTGCCATTATCTTCATACAAAGACATACATGGTGCACTACAAACCAAGTACCTCCTTGAAGAAGGTCCATAATCTTTTTAAGTTGCTTTGGTGGATCATTTCAATCGCTAAAGATACATCTTCTTGCCTGAAGCAAAACACGACTGGCAACATTTGTGCTTCCAAGACTTTAAGTCCGTGAATGAATACAATTTTGAAGTTTATTGAATTCGATCACTTCTAAAATCTTGTAACGAGGACTTGACTGAAGAGGATCTCTTGGAGAAGACTTATTCGACCTTCTTTGCGATCAATATTGCCCTGCAACAATGACATCAGGCTTTGTAGTTCACTAAGTTTTCAGATTTGATCTCTGTTTTACTTTTTGCTAAAAAACTGAATCAACTGTTGATGAAGAATCATCAAGTTGAACCTACTAGCTCGACTGCTTTGCATGAAGCACAAACTAGCAAGAAACGAAGCTTGAACCACCATTCTAGGTGTGGTAGGCATGACCATAAGCCGCTCCACTATGGTTAATAGAGCGAGGCCCATCCAATAGAGGAAATAGAGCCTTAAACTTCAAGAATAAAGGCAAAGCACCTAACGCCATGGATGCAAATATGTGATACTGTTATGGTTCTTGTGTGTGCCGAGCTCTTCCTAAAGTTGTAGTTGAGTAACATTCTTGTCTTTAGAAGTTTGAATTAAACTTTGCTCAAATGGTGGAACTAGAAGATACAAAGATGAAGGTTTTTGACTTTCAAGAGGCATTTATTCTTATGGAAGAATAGATTCTTTGATATGGGCCCACATACTGGCCGAATTTTACCACTTAGGGTCGAATTCTCTAAGTAGCCGAGTACACACAAACCCGCCCCCCTTTATGTTTGGATAATTTGTTAGTGTTTGTTTTAAATTTTAATATTAAGTTTTATGGATTATTTTCTCGAATGATTAATTTAATGAATGGAATATACTTTTTGAATCTATTTATACTAGTGAGAAATTCAATTAAATCATTTTTAGATATGACTAGTGGGAAGTTGGTGGTCTGGCAGAAAGTGCAACCACACACACCATTTTGGGTGAACACACCTATTTTACTAAATTCGTGCCGCAGAATGCACCCTTGACAACCCTCTCAGGTCCATCTAACATATTTGAATAATACAGACATAACCGTATAATGTTGTCCAATTATACTATATTGACCATTAATGAGGCATTTTACTCTCCACGTTCCGGGAGAACGTTGTTGAGTTTTAAAGACATTTGAGGTAATAATTATCACATTGAAGCCTCTATAGAAAACATAATTGAATTTATGTACGTCAATTTCTATGAATATGGTCAGAAGCATATTCTAGAAAAGATGGAGCATCTCCCGAGTGATTTGTATATTACAACCATCCACTTCATAGTGAGCCAATATGTGGGCGGCCCTACCTCAAAGATTGCACATCAAATTTTGTTTTGGCATGATTGTTTAGGACGCCTTGGACGAGTTGTGATACGTCGTATTCTCAAATCTACTCAAGGGCATTCCCTAGCACTGTGGTATTAAAGATTAAGACTCATCTCATTTATGCTATTATGCCTATGTGCCATTTCCACCTTTGAATTTCCCTCTGTCATTTCCTCTCTCCAACAAACCAAACCTGGCTTCCAACGACTCTTTCTCTCTCAAAATTTGCACTCATAGCCGCCCCAATTCTCCAATTCCTCTGTACTGCTCATTCAATACCCCCAAACTTAGGTGTAGTTTGGGATTGAGGTGATTAAAAAAAAGTTGGGATGAAAAAAAGCTAATAGGGGTTTTGGTGTTTGGTAAACATTCCAAAACAGCTTTATTTCAAAGTTTCACGTGAAAAAAAGCCAAAAAGTGAAAGCTGCATTTTGCAACTTCAAGAAGCCGCCTATTATCCAAAACACGGAGCTACAGTACCAAGTTAATGAATTTTTTCAATTTGCCAATACTGCCCCCTCCTTTCTCCTTCTCCTGATTCCTACACTCTGCTCTCTCTCTTTCTCTCTCGCAAAACACGCCCCTGCACCTCTTCCTCCTCCTCCTTTTCCTTTCTCTCCGTCGATCTCAGCGCCACACCGTCGTCGCCTTCCAAGTACCAGGTACTCAATTTGCTTTCAATTTTTACTGTAATTAATTAATTTAATTTTTAGGTTAGGGTTTGGTTGCTCTCTGATGATGAACCCATTTTTTTTGGGTTTTCTGAAACAGGGTTTTGTGTGGCAACCAACGAACGAGCTTGATCTCATTGATTAGGTAAACATAACTCTTTCTCTCTCCCTCTCCATCTCTCTCTCTCTCTCTCTCTCTCTCTCTCTCTCTTCCATCGTTGTGGGAATTTCAGTTTTGGTCTTTGAATTAATGTTCTAATTTTGGGGTTTGAATTAATTCTCTAAATTTCAGTTTTGGGGTTTGAATTAAGGTTATTATCATGAGATCCATGAAGCAATTTCA